GCCTGTGGTCCCAGCTACTTGGGAGGCTGAGGCAGGAGACTCACCTGAGCCCAGGAGTTGGAGGTTGCTGTGAGCTGTGATGCCACAGCACACTACCCAGGGGGATAGCTTGAGGCTCTGTCTCAAAAAACAAAAAAAGGTCTATTTTGCAACTTTTGGTTTCAAAATATTCTGGTTTTTTTTTCATTTTATTGTAATAATTTGAAAATATAAAAGAATTATATAGAGAATACTCACATATCTATAGTGCTGGACTCTGCAGTTAACATTTTGGTTACAGGTGATCATACACGACATGGGTGTGAACTGTGTGTATCCACTAATACTTGGAGTTTTTCTTTTCAGTATGTTGGAAAAATTTGTGGATATTTGTGACAATTTGAAAAAACTTATAGATAAACCTTATACCCTAGAAATGTGGAACAAATTAAGAAAACATTAGCTTACAGATCATGCAGGTACCATACACAGTCAAGAGAAATGTAAACAAACTATAGTATTAAATCATAACTGCATAAAAATAACTGGTAGTACACTACTGCAATAATTTCATAGCTACCTGCTGTTGATACTGAATTGAGCTCAAGTATTGAGAGTATCTGCTTAATAGGCTGCAAGATACTCATCGACATTGCAAGTGCAGTTCATCTCTAGTTCTCTCTCTCAGTTCTTGCGTATTTTTCATCGTGCTTAGCGCAATATTATAATCCTTAAATAACATCTAGGGTTCCATATGAAGTGCCACTAGTGATGCTGGAAGTGTTCCCAAGAAGAAGAGTCATGAAAAAGGTGAACTGCTTGATACACACTGTAGATTGAGGTCCACAGCTGTGGTTGCCCACCATGTTAAGATAAATGAATCTAGTGTAAGGACCACCGAAAAAGAAGAGGAAATTTGTGAAGCTATTGCTGCAGCTCTTACCAGCAGGCCCAAAAACCTGCATTTTTAAAAAAATACCTTCTTATCGCATATTGAAAATAAAGCTTTTACATGCAGAATTACTATATAATTCAAGAAACAGCGAAGTCGGCCAGGCGCAGTGGCTCACACCTGTAATCCTAGCTGAGGTGGGTAGATTGCCTGAGCTCACAATTTCAAGACTAGCCTGAGTCAGAGTGAGACCTCATCTCTAAAAAAATAGCTGGGTGTTGTGGTGGGTGCTTATAATCCCAGCCACTTGGGAGGCTGAGAGAAAGAGAATCGCTTAAGCCTAAGAGTTTGAGGTTGCTGTGAGCTGTGAAGCCATAACACTCTACCAAGGGCAACAAAGTGAGACTCTGTCTCAAAAAAAAAAAAAAAAAAAGGGCTGGGCACGGTGGCTCACGTGTGTAATCCTAGCATTCTGGGAGGTTGAGACAGGTGGATGCCTGACCTCATAGGTTGGAGACCAGCCTGAGTGAGAGCAAGACCCCACCTCTAAAAATAGCCAGGCGTTGTGGCACATGCCTATAGTCCCAGTACTTGGGAGGCTGAAGCATGAGAATTGCTTGAGCCCATGAGTCTTAGGTTGCTGTGATGCCACAGTGCTCTACCGAGGGCAACAAAGTAAGACTGTATCTCAAAAAAGAAAGAAAGAAAGAAAAAGTGAAGTTATTCTATGACAATTTAAAGCAAAATGAAGGAGAGTATCGAAAAATGGAGAATTTAATGCCAGTAAAGGATGGTTTGATAATTTTAGAAAGATGTTTGGCTTAAAAAATGTTAAGGTTGGTACAGTGGCTCTTTCTTACAGTCCTGACTACTCAGGATGCTGAGGTAGGAAGATTGGGGAACATAGTGATACCATGTCACTAAGAAAAATAATTTTTAACACCAAGCTAACAGGGAGAAGCAGGCTAGCAGAAGAGGCAGGACATGAATTCCCAGACATCACTATAGAAAATCATTGAGAAGAATGATTATCTGTCTGAGCAGGGTTTTAGTGCAGACAAAAATCCCCTATTCTGGAAAAAAAAATGCCATTTATTAAAAAGACATTTATTGGGCAGTGCCTGGGCCTCAGGGAGTAGGGCGCCGGCCCCATATACTGAGGGTGGCGGGTTCAAACCCAGCCCCGGGCAAACTGCAACAAAAAAATAGCCGGACGTTGTAGTGGGCACCTGTAGTCCCAGCTACTCGGGAGGCTGAGGCAAGAGAATCACCTAAGCAAGGAGTTGGAGGTTGCTGTGACTTCACGGCACTCTACCGAGGGTTAATAAGTGA